GGTGAATTGCATTAATATGAATGATGCCATATATATATATATATATATATATATATATACACACACACACATATATATATACACACATACATCATACATACATACATACATACATACATACATACATACATACATATATATATATATATATATATATATATATATATATATATAATGTAGTATTTGTGTAGACAAAGGCAACAGTAAAATATTGGGCTTTCTGTCTGGATGGTCTCTTGTGACGAGAGACCATCCATCCAGACACTTATATGTGTGAAATCAAAATGATTTGTCAGATATTGAAAGTACTTGCAAACACTTAAAACATGTTTAAAATGTTTGCAAGTATTTTCAATATCTGGCAAATCATTTTGATTTCACAGATCCCTAAAGAAGCTTGGGGCAGCCCAATTCTAAATGAGCTAAAATTTTGGGTAGCAGCCAAGCAAAGACTGGAAAAAGAGAGGAAATAATTCAACCTGGACTGGGATTATATACGTTTACGCGTTTAGAAAGAGATTTTCTTTTTATGAAAGGCTTTCTGGTTCTGTTGCCCACGTGAAGTGGGAAGCAAAAATTCCACCTTACCAAACGCTCCTAACTAGTAAATGGGACCATAAAAATCTTATTCTGCATCCGTAGAAACATGAAGACCTGAGACGTTACTCCAGAACACGAAGCCGAAAGGCGGAACAACACCTTCCACCGATCCAAATAGGAAGTGAACTTCATCCGCCCTCGGACGAAACAGTTTGTGTAGCTTTCCTCCGAAATATCCCCCTCTCTATAGAAGTAGAAAATTAAGAGAAAGACACTCTATCTTCACTGGGAGGAGAAAACGAAAAGCCATCCAATTTTCATGTCCTAAGGATGCAAACAATTATAAAGCTGGAAGAAAAGCAATCTGCTTTTAGAGGGAGATTTCCATTAGACTCTAAAGCTGCGGCCCCGCACACTTTTGCCCAGGACAAAGCCACACTAAGTGAGGGCACATCCCCTTTCGGAATTCAATCCTTTCTGATTCATTCATTCATTCATTCATTCATTCATTCATTCTGTCTGTCTGTCTGTCTGTCTGTCTGTCTATTTGTCCATCCATCCATCCATCCATCCATCCATCCATCCATCCATCCATCCCCGCAGGGAATGATTCTTCATCATTAGAATTTACGGGGTTTTTCTCCTCCACCGCTCGCACAAACGCAGGCGTGGGGAAGCAAAAGAGTTTTCCATGCAGTTCTTGATTGGATCGCGAAGACAGATTGCAGGGAAAAGATTAAAACTCCTTCATTCTCCTGCGTCCTTGCTGCCACCCACACTGCAGCCCCCGCCCTCCTCCGCCATCAACATCCCCCAACCTGGTGCTCTCCAGATATAATGAACAGTTCCCACCACTGGTTCCCACCAAGTGTTGTCCGCCAACGCATCGGGAGGGGGGAGAAGGGGGGGGAGAAAAAGAAGGGAAGCACACCCAGCCGCGGTGGAGAAGGAAAAGCCACTGGTTATTCGATTGTGCTCAGAACGTTAGGGTTAGAAATTGCTTATAAGGATAGATCGTCATTGAGAAAATCTTATCTGTGGAATTGCTAGGAATGAAAAAAATGGTTTGATGTCATGTAATAGTTCTTTTAAAAAAAACTGCCCATCGAGTAGCAACAAATCACCTTCCCCAAACACACCTTAGGCTGCGGCAAAGGTCGATCTAGTCAAATGGTTTTCCCGGCGGCCCATCCAGCCCAAATTCGGTGCTGAGCGATCCGCAGAAGCAACAGCTTCATACTCCACGGACTGGTTGGCGGCAGACCAGCCGACTTTGCATTTTAAGTGAAGCGCGGTCGCAATTTAGGCCAAGTCGGAAATAATATATGAATCTCTATTCCTATCTCTACGGTAGCTCGGTGCTTTGAATAGGCCCCCTTCCGGAGGTGCACGAGGAGGACTGGAAATGAGTTCCGGTAACTTTGGTTCCCTTTCACGTTGAACCCTGGAAACGAAGGGGCTCCTATGATAAAAGGATATGTAATTTGCCAGAAATGACCTGGGTCACTCCTAAAGAATAACCAGTAAAATAGCCTGTTTTTTTCAAGCGTGATGCTCTTACAAACAAAAAGCAACTTGGGTGGGGGTGGGCAGAAAGGTGGGCACTATTTAAAGTGAGAATTGGCGTGTATGAACATGTCTGTATAGCATACTAGCTGAGTGGGAAACACTGAGCTATGCCTTTCTACCCCTTTTTGGTAATATGTGATTAGATTCCACGTTAAGGTTATTCTAAATCTGAACCAGTTTACTTTGGGGAGGGGATTTCATAGGGATGATGATCAGGAATTATTGTACAAAAAGATTCAAAGATTTCTGAATTTTTAAAAAAATATCTTTAATTTTTCATGAAATGCATTTAATTAAAAATATTATAAAATACCACATGATTAATAACACTAATTTCCTTTTGTTTATTACAATTCCAAACTTATGCATTCTATTATGTACTTCTAGTAATGTTAGAAGAAGTAATATTAATTTAACCATAAAAGTGACATTTGTAAAAAAAAATTTTTTAGTATAAACGACTTGATTTGTAAATATCTTTCAATAACCATTTGATTCACAAACAAGTTCACAGTTTAAAAACCCTAAAAAGACTGAAGGCTAAAATTGATAACTAAATGCTATAATTATTCTCTGGAACAAACTTTATCTTCTAGCAATATAATACCATTCTGCAATTATCTGTAACTGACCAAGACTTCTGCCCACCCCCCTTGCTAATCTCCAGAGTCCTGGGAAGACACCCATTATTAAAAACAAAGCTGAGAATCAATATTCCATTAAGAGAGCAGCAGATTTTTTGACCTCAGGTCAGGGCATATCAAATATGATGGAGAGCTAGGATCCTCTTTGATAGGATTGTCTGCTGGGTTTAAGAAACAAACATAAAAACAGCTGTGGAAATGGGCAGGAAGCAGCAGAGCTCAAAATTATTGTCCTCATAAAGCTGCTCCTAACATAGCCAGGAGGAAATATATGACCTGATACAATGAATATTGATTTCTCAATGAAATTAACCATATTTGAAACAATTTTAACTTAATAATGGTGCAGGGGAAAGACTAAATGCCTGATTCTCAGTAACTCCTTTGCTCACTTAACTTTGCCTAGCCATGGCTACACAGTGGGACCTCGGGTGCCAACCATGATCCATTCCAGGACTTTGGTCGGCACCTGATTTGGTCTTGACCAGAAGCAAGACAAACTGAGCATGTGCGTGCACGCACACACAAAATGGCACAGAAGGGGAAATCGCCGTGGCAGGGGAAATCGCCATGGCTGTGTTTATTCAGCACCCAAGGATGTGTTTGTGACCTGAGTGAAGCATTTAGCAGATTTTTCAATTGGCACCTGAATTGTTCATCTGTCTGAAAAGACATTTAATGTATACTGCTATAGGTTTTCTTAACATAAAAAGTACAATTTGTTTTACTGACCAGACATCACCTATGTTGAAAGTACCAAGAGGGAAATTCAGGTTACTGGTAAATACTGAGGATTGCTGCCTTTTGTTTGTTGCAAACTCCTATGCAGAGGTGGTATTCAGCAGGTTCTGACCAGTTCTGGAGAACCGGTAGTGGAAATTTTGAGCAGTTCAGAGAACCGGTAAATACCACCTCTGACTGGCCCTGTCCCCATCTATTCTCTGCCTCCCGAATCCCAGCTGATCAGGAGGGAATGGAGATTTTACAGTATCCTTCCCCTGCCATGCCTACCAAGCCACACCCACCAAACTACGCCCACAGAACCAGTAGTAAAAAAAATTGAATCCCACTACTGCTCTCCTGCATATAAAGGATGTTTGGTCATGTGCCGGTTTAAATGGATACAATATTCTTTGTATTTCCCAGAACTGAGTGGGTTAATCAAAAGTCTTGGGTGATCTAACTTTTTTTTTAAAACCTAGAATCCTAATGTCTAGTTAGTAGGTATAATTTAAAAGTATAAACAAATAATGTTTTCTTCTCAAGCAAGAAACAAAAGTAATTACATGATTAGGAGAATGTCCTTTTGGCTTGCAAATGTCAACCATACTGTTGGCTCTGAATCCAAGCCATTAGAACTGATGAATGTTCTAGAAAGGTTCTAGTTTCTACTCATTGTTATATTAGAAAATGGTATCACACATGACTTCATTTACTCTTCTTGTACAGTACCAAGTGCATTGGCCCCTTGGCTGATTCAAAGACAACTAGGAATGAGATGTCAAGGAAACATACACTTGGGAAATTAATGTCAGCTTGGATTGTCCTTATGAAGACTTATGGAGGTAATTATCTTAAGAATACAGAAAGTTGTTTTGTAATAAGTCATGCCATTGCATTATCTATTTTCATTAATAGCACTTTCAGGCAATAAGAAAACCTTCCTATCACCTACTATATCAAGATTCTTTTGATAGGAATGCCATGGACTGAACCTTGGGTTCATGTAGGGTATTTGTAGCTGAATTGAAATGTGATCCTGGATTATCTCAATCATTTCCTGCTGAAGCCTACATTTCAATTCTCTGAGGCATCAAGTGTTGAGACACATTTGGGATTTTGTAAATAGCAGCAGCTGACACTTCTTCATTGTCTTTTTTCATGTGCCATGGAAAAGTTCAATCTGTAAGAAAAGAGATCAGCAAAAGATGGTTAACTCCTTTATTATTCTGTTACATCCAAATAATCCACTAGGGGGCAGTGATTTCATTAGTCTAAACAAATTGTAGATGAGATAAATTGTACAGATAGTCCTCAATTTACACAGTTCATTTAATAACCGTTCAAATTTTTTTACAGTGGCCTTAAAAAAGTGACTTATGACTATTTTTCACAAAACTGTTGCAGCATCCCTTTGGTCATATGATCAAAATTTAGCTACTTGGCTACTGACTCATATGTCCTGGCATCATGGGATCATCTTTTGCAACCTTTTGACAAGCAAAGTCAATGAGAAGCCAAATTCATTTGGTGTTACTTACATAACAATGGCAGTGATTCACTTAACAACTCTTGCAAAAAAGATAATAAAATACAGTAAACTCAATAACTGTCTCACTTAGCAACAGAAATTTGGTGCTCAATTGTGGTCATTAGTCTAGAGCTACTACTTTGTTGGGGTGTGTTTCTTCCGAAATAAGTGGGATTTTTCTCAGCAGAAAATCATTTGATTTTCCACATTTCTTACTTGGAAACTAGTTTGATAGTTAGCAACCGCTTTTCACCCCCTCCAACTGATGCTACTTGGTCTTTACCAAAAAGAACTTGTGTGAGAAATAAAGAGGACTAAGGACCAGGAAGATTTGGGGTGCCATTGCATCTAATTATTGTTCCCTTCAGGAGCTTTAGTAACCTAGCTGTAATTTGTCACATTCTGATATTGGAACTCAAATTGTCCAGTAATACTAGAAAGTCTAGTTAATCAAGAGTGCATGTTATTTGCATCCCCACAGCAGTTGCTGTATTCCTTATCACCACAACTTACACCCATCTTTGTTTTGCATGGATTTTAATTAGGCAAATGCAGAAAATCCAGTGCAGCTGCAGTTAATTAAAAAAGGGAGATAATTTTCTTAAACCTGTATTTCAAGCTCCACTAAACATAATGTCAAGAATGTGAATTGTGATAGCATAGAAATTAAGTAAATAATAGCATCAATTGAATGTACAATTAAATCACTGCTTTTCAATGTATAATTGGTGTTTTTTTAAATAGTAACACTTTTTGGGAGGTGAAGAGCAGGTTGAAGTAAAACTATCTCTAAATCAATGTAGCACATCATGCTCCAGATTATTTCTTCACCACTCTTTTCTTGCAAGAGCTGTGAAAGAAGACTACTTCAGAAGGGGAGTAGTGTTAGTACTCTCTGTGTTCACAATGAGGCTGTGGGAAGACCCATAGTGATTCTTTGTCACTGTCAGAATTCATATAATTAATTCTGCAATAGCCCAAAAAGAAGCTGTGTAGGAAGTGTCCAAAAAAGAAGTAAATCATGTAAATCTATAGCTACTGTGCCACACCTTTCCTAAGAAGGCTGATAATAAGAAAAGAGGAGGGATGCAAATAAATATAATGACATCAATCAAGGTACAGGAACAACTTAGCCTAACCCAACAAAAGAAAAGAAGATGCTCCATTCTTTCCTGTCTGTTTTGTTGATCTGAGTATGATGGAACTTTGGAATAATACTAACTTCCTTCTGCTCTGGATTTCACTACCCTTAACCAATAAGGAAGCTTTCCAGAGGAATGTATTTATTGAACCCAACATATTTTGCATAATAGAATAGAATTGTTTATTGGCCAAGTGTGATTGGACACACAAGAAATTTGAGAAGGGTTTATTTAACTTGAAAATAAATTTAACTTGAGAGTGGTGTTAAAAAACTAGCATCATAGCTTCTAATTCTCTTGCAACATATTCTTTTGCATGGCAGCCTCATCAAATCTAGAGGAGCCTTGGATCATTTTTTCCCATTTTTTTGCCCTCTAGATGAAAATATGAAAAGGAACTAAGTATTCCTATGCCTATGAAGATTTTTTGTAGTTTTGTGCCTCACAAGTTCATTCATGGCAAACTTTGCATATGACTATGTGTGTAAATACATGCGAACATGCACACTGAGAGATCTGCATAGATAAATGCTATTCTTTACCTTAGAATAATGCTTATCTGTCTATTAAATATCCTTAAGTATTTCTGAATTTTCCTGTCCACTTACCTTTTTTCTGAATAGGTGGAACTTGTTTTCCTTTTGCTAGGTCACTCTGGGCCAAGATATCTACCATCCAAGACAAGGTACTGGTACAATACTCCATCTAATGGGAGTAAATGAAATAAACCTATTTGGGAGGTAGTATTTTTGAAGGTTCATGTGAGATAGTTGTCATTTTATGCCATATTGTGATTACCTTGTTGCTGGCTTAGCATACCAGTGTGTCTTTAAAAAAAATAAAACATTGTTGAAACCTGTTGTGATTTCTTTAGATGTATGTAATCCATGCAATTTTAGAGGAAATGCAATTTTAGTCTTAGAGGAGACATCTGTGGTTGGTGAACTACAACATCCAGCAGCTCTGGTTTGTAGAGGTCCGTGATAGCGAACCTATGGTGGCATATGGAGCCATTTGTCAGGGCATATGAGGCATTGCCCTGTCAGCTGACTTCGGCCTTCTTTTGGGGCCATTTTTCACCCTCCGGTGGCTTCCTTGAACGTACTTCCAGTTTGCTCGTAGAGCTGATTTTAGCCCTTGGGAGCCTTCAGGGAAGCCTCCTGAAGGCCCTTGAAGTCTTCAGAGGAGGAAAAACAGCCCCATGGACAAACCGGAAGTACGTTCCCAAACTTCCAATTTGCCCAAAGGGCCAGTTTTTCACGCTCTGGAGGCTTTATGGAAGCTCCTGAAGCCTCTGGGTGTGGCGGGGGAGGCTGTTTTCGCCTTCCCAAGGCTCCTATAAAGCCTTTGGAGCCTGGGGAGGGCGAAAAAAGCAGCCCCAAAATGGGGGAGAACACTGGTTGTGCGTGCATGGACATTGGGGTCGTGCACATAACATGGGTGTGGCACACCCGCGCACAGCCCCCCTGCGCTCCCCCCCTGCTTTTGGCACGTGAGCCAAAAAAGGTTCGCCATCACTGGTATAGGTGCTGCACACTGTTCCCTCTAAGGTGCGCGGCTGCGCAACCGCGCACATGGCAAGAAAACCCCGCGCAGCAGTTTCTATCTGCCGTGCAGAGATTTCTGTAAAGCAAACATGGGGAAGTTCTTTGCAGGCGGCTAGAACTGGCCGCCTGCAAAGGGCCTCCCCAGACTTGTTTTGAAGAGCATGGCTCTTCAAGTCCATGTTCGGGGATCCCTTGGAGAGGGGATTCCTTCCTGCGAGACCCCGTCCAGAAAATGCGGGGAGCGGAAGCGGAGACCCAGGGCTGCTTCTACTGCGACCGCTGGACTGTGGGGCTGGGAAGGGGGCGGGAAGAGCAGCGGGGCTGACGGTGGCCGGCGGTGGCAGGCTGGTTGGCTGCCTTTCCACCGCCGCCCCCTCTGTGCGGCGGTTTTCGACCTGCTTCCCCCTCCCTCCGCCGCACCCCTAACTTGAACCTGGTCCGCAGAGGGGCAAGCAGGCGTGGGGGGGGGGTCCGGCACCTGCGTTCCGGCGCAGCCCAGCGGACGGGGCGCTGCACGAGGGGGCGGGCGAGGAGAGGAGAGGCGGGGCGCCCTGCCCTGGTGGCTTTTACTTTCCGGGGCCAGGACTCTAGAGAGAAGAGAACTATAAAAGCTCTTTTCTCTTATTCTTTCCTCTGTGTCTCAACTCCTCTAATTGCCCATCAACTACAACACAACATTGGAACAATTTCTCCAAACTCTCTCATATTCCAATAACTCATTTCTCAATTTGTCAGCAAGTCTCTTCCAAAACTGGTCAAAGCAAGTTTATTCCATTCCATATCCCTGACAATGTCTGGAAATCCAATATATAAATACCAACTCTGCAATGACCTTTCTTTAGTTTGTGAATTTCCCAAATCACTGTTGTTGTTCTTTCCAGTTCATCACAAATCTTTGCATGAAATATGGGTAATAATTCAGCAATTGATTTTTGCCTTCAATAAGGAGCATATCCCTTTCAGTAGCCTCTTCTTTCAATGGACTCAGAACAAAGGCAAACCTGGAGTGATCTGTAGATAATTCCGCTAGTCCCAATAAGAGGGACAGAATCACTTGGATTAGAGTGGGTCCTTGGGTAACAATTGGTGGAATTTATTTAACACCAGCAACAAAGATAAGTTAAAACCATTACAGTCCCCCAGTCACATGATCAAAGTTCAGATTGGCAGCCTGCCTGCACTTATGGCCAAAGGAGTGTTTTAACTCCCATCACCGGCCTATCTGCTGTTGGAGGAGGAGGAGGCAGCAGTTATTCTAGTGGAGGCAGGGGCTCGTCGGCATCTTCAACGGCAGCCCTGCCCCCTGTGAAAAAAACTGAAGATGGAGCAGTGAATGAATAAACCATAAAAGCAACAAACAGTTAATGCGTAAGTAAGCTGAGGAGCAAGTTCTCAACTAAGGAAGCAATATAAGAAAGAAATATAAAAAGCTCAATATGCCAAAACACTTATTTTAGTCTTCATTTAATTACTTGTATTGTAGTCTGATGTAACATCTTTTTAAAGTTAACAAGAACGTAGTTATAGGCCACCTGCTTGCCCATCTCTCTCTGATCTATCAGAAACCAGACGACAGGATCTCACTTGTTCAGCTTAAAATTTGATGGACTATAGCCATCTATCAAGCTATCTGAAGGAGAGGCCCTTCAGATAGCATGATCCCAAGCTGTTTGTATGTTAAAGCCTAATGCTAGCAGTGTATCTTAAACTGGACTTGGAAGTTGGAAACAAATGTGGTGTTAGTACAAATGATGCAAAATAGATTTAATAGAAGGGGAATCTTAAGATGGGGGGAATCTTAAGGGTACCTTGAATAAACATAACTGAGTTTCAAATAATACCGATTTTGTTGTTGTCTTAGGTGACATCTGTGAAAAAAATTCAGGTGCTCAGGTATGAAAATATGCCGCTCAAACACTATACTTTTCTGCTCACACTGAAAAAAAATTAGAGGGAACTTTGGTGCTGCACAGGAAGGCCAAATGTTCCTCCATCCCTGAATTTTCTCTGTTAACATGACAGGTCTTTTTTCATCTACTGCTGCTACTTTTCACCTGTGCTACTACCTTTGTCCTATCAGTTCCCCAAGGGTTCTATTTCCCTCCCATTTCCCATTTCAAAGGATCCATTACTGTCCCCATACCTGAATTTCAAGGTTCTTCAGATGTCGCTCTGATTCTTTGATATCAGAAAGCTGCTTTAAAACCTGATCGACTCTGCAGAATGAGAGGTATGAGGCAGTTACAAAGAAAGGAAACATCCACCCTTCCTTTTCCTCTATAGGGCATGAGGCAATCTTTTATCCTCTTTGATACAGAGGTGGTATTCTGCCAGTTCTGACAGGTAGTGGAAATTTTGAGTAGTTCGGAGAACTGGCAAATAGGCTGGCCTCGCCCCCCACTGCCCCCCAGCCTCCCAGCTGATCTTCTTTTATTGCCTTGAACAGGAGAACGGAGCTGGAAAGCCAGTTAGTGGGGCGGGGAGGGAATGGGGATTTTGCAGTAACCCTCCCCTGCCATGCCCATAAAGCCACGCCCACAAAGTCACTACGCCCACAAAGCCACACCACGCCCACAAAGCCACGCCCACAGAACAGGTAGCAAAAAAAAAATGAATCCCACCACTGCTCTGATAGTCCCCTAGATTTGATTCCAAAGCTTTCATTTTCCCCACATAAGGATACTAGAAGTGTTTCAATAAACTTTGGAAAACCTAATACATCTAGGCAGAAAGATTGGATTTTAGGAATTTGTACACAGGCTTTTTTAGAAGGAAGGGTGAACACTTTCCAAAGCTATTGGTTTATGCATGCATCAAGGTTAAATGTTCATACTTAGAGCCATTGAAATGAATAGGACAAACTAGTAATAGCTAATGTGAATCCTATGGTTTATAGTGGGTCTTCCTAAATATGGGAATTTCCATATCATATCTGGAACACAGGCGGTGAAGAAAGTGTTCTTACTTAACAGAAAAATGCACCACCCAGAAAGTCTGCAAAGCAACAGCCCCCACCTCTACACACACACACACAAGCAAACACACACACACACACACACACACACACACACACGCAATGGTGATGGTTCTGAATGAAGTATAAGGCACCTCCCAGAAAGGCTGGACTGCATTTTACCATGTTATTGTTGATTTTAGAAATGGTTAATCAATAAACAGGGAAGATTTTCCATATGCGGTATGCATAGAAACTTAGTTCTCATTTCCCAAGCAATATCTCTGGAAGAAGCTACCCAAAATATCTAAAATAAATCAGGTTTAGGAAATCTGTCTATAATATGCTTTTCTTCTGTGCCAATTAAAGATGAGTATGAAATTTGATCTCAAATTCCAGTGTAAACTGATTAGATCTGTACATTCTGATTAAATGTGGTGGGATTGTAAATGCACTTATATTTTGGATTTTTCATTTCTTTGCATTCAATGAAATATTCATGATTCAATACACTTTAAAATGTGTATTTTGAAATTAAATGATTAAATTGCATTTTAAAGAAAATATTTAAATACACATTTAATGCTATTTCCCCAAACTTTAAAAAAAATTCAGTATGAAAAAATCCCTTGATAATTAATTGAAACTGATTCAAATTGGATTTAAACTGATCAGTCCTTCCCTAATCTCAACCTCCTCCTTTTTCTTTATTGTCTTCTATTCCCCATTCTTACTTTTGGGAAGTTCTCCGGAGTCGCTCAGTGTCGCTGTCACGTTTCTGTCGAGCCTGGGTTACTAAGTAATTTTCTTTCTGTACCGATTCCCACGTCAGTAGTCGTCTATTTTGGATCTCAGAGAGTTCTAGCACTGTCCAAAATAGATTAATTATCGGTTCACAAAATGATAATGATTCAGAAGTCAGTTTAGTAAACAGCTACCTGCAAGTCTGTCTATTATTGGTAAAAAGAAATGGCTGCTCACCAATTAATGTAGAATACATGTCTCTGCCCTAATGGATCAGTTAGTTATAAATCGGAAATGTTCCTTATCTCTCTCATCTCAGTAAACCTTATTAATGATTGTCACAGAGGGAGAATCTTGCTTGGAAGGAGTGGAAAACTTGGGAAGGAGCCAAAAGTCTGACAACACATTCAGTGCAGAATGAAGGAGATAATGATTGTTAATAACAGAGAGTTATAATTAATCATTTTTGATATTCACAAAGAACTGATGTAGAACAGTGATTTCAGCATTATGGGGAGCCCCAGCTCTCTCAATTAGAGAGTTTACTACATAGTGCTGAACTAGTTACTTGCTCTTCATCTGTAATTCTATTTTGTGGAGAAGAACATAGGAAAGTCTCATTTATGCCACCTTTGAGTTTTCAGTTGAATGGCAAAATATAAAGACAACAAACGAACAAATGAATGAATGACCTTGAACAACCTTCCCATATTTGATGTTGTGTAGGTTGGTTAACATTGCAAGAGTTCCAGCATTCCTAGGTAGGTTATCTCTTATCTATCCCAAAATTGCCTATAGCACTCACAGAAGTCACGCCTCTTTGCTGACGGCACCTTGCGGATATGACGCTTGAACAAAAGATGTAGGTGGCTGATCAGGATGAAGGGTGGAGCCAAAGCAGGCCGACTATGATACTCTAAGATAAGGTTATAACGCTGTGATTTCCAGTAAATATCACTGTTGTCTTGCACTTTGGAGAACGTGTAACTATTAGCAGAAGAAACAATACATTAGTCCTACCTTTCTCCAAATTGGAGGATTCAACTTCAAACCGAATGGCTCATCCCTACAACCAGAAGTGGATTCCTATCAGTTTGGACCAGTTTCCCGGCTGGGTTGCCGGGACCGGTGGTGACCCAGGCCTGATATACCTCTGAATTGGTTCTCTGGCTGGCACGGCATGTTTCCCTCCCCTTTTTTAAAGCTTCTGCAAATGCACAGATGCTTTTTGGGCAACTGCGCACGCATGTGCGCAATGAACCCACCCCAGTCTACAACACAATCGTAGACTTTCCTTTTCTACATGAAAATCTCAACAAAAGAATTGGGGACCATACTGTTTAATCAGAACAATTAAGGGTGGGCTACAGAAAATGTAGAGATGCAGCCCTCCTGTTCTATCATCCATGGCCATTATATTTGCTTAGCAGCAAATATTTTTCAGCTTTCCCCTAAACTTGAACCATGGAAAAAGTTGTAAAAATATTGTGAATGTATTTTCACAGATATATGAAACTGCCACGTGTGAAATATGATCATATAATTAATTCAACGAATCTTATTCTTCAAATATTTCTTTTGAAAATACTTTGTTGAAAACTGAACTCGAAATGGCTAAAATAGATACAATCTAAATTACTTTTGAAAATTATAATGTCTCATTGAATTAGGTTTGGACCATAATCTTATTCCAATTTTATTATTATGCAATTGTATCACAGCGGCCAGTTGTTTCACCGGATTTGGCATTGGTTACTAGTCGGGCCCCACCCAGGGGCCTAGGACGTCGTA